CGATGTTTACAGTTTCTCAATAGTATATTTACATTTACAAGGCGATGTTTACAGTTTCTCAATAGTATATTTACAAGGCGATGTTTACAGTTTCTCAATAGTATATTTACATTTACAAGGCGATGTTTACAGTTTCTCAATAGTATATTTACAAGGCGATGTTTACAGTTTCTCAATAGTATATTTACATTTACAAGGCGATGTTTACAGTTTCTCAATAGTATATTTACAAGGCGATGTTTACAGTTTCTCAATAATATATTTACAAGGCGATGTTAACAGTTTCTCAATAGTATATTTACATTTACAAGGCGATGTTTACAATTGTACAATAATGTCCTTACATTTACAAGGTGAAGCAACATAGTCACTTTCGCGATGCGTTTATCAGCATCGCGTTGATAAAATCGCGACACTGAGACTCTCTCACCTCACAGTTAACACAATTTTTTCCACGTTCGCGGGCATCGCGTTTTTTTAAAGCGTTTAACGTTCACAAGGACCACGTCCGCGGCAAGTGCACAATTAGTGTACGTTACGCTTATGTACTCAAGGATCCTTTTTATCGGTGTTCATTAATTCGTTGAACATGGTGTTCAACGCTCCCATAAAGTATTAGGCACATATACAACATCTTGGTGTCCTTAATTTGTAGACGTTTCGCCCTCCAGTGGTTTTATTAATACTAGGATGTAATGTGAGGAGGGCGAAACATCTACAAATATACTCAGATGTTCTACATGTGTGTAATTCGTTATCTTGTCGGTATTGTATACCATTCATGTACAACTATGGTCCTCATGTACAACTATGGTCCTCATGTACAATATATGGTCTTCATGTACAACTATGGTCCTCATGTACAACTATGGTCCTCATGTACAACTATGGTCCTCATGTACAACTATGGTCCTCATGTACAATGTATGGTCTTCATGTACAACTATGGTCCTCATGTACAAAGTATGGTCCTCATGTACAACGTATGGTCTTCATGTACAACTATGGTCCTCATGTACAAAGTATGGTCCTCATGTACAACTATGGTCCTCATGTACAAAGTATGGTCCTCGTGTACAACGTATGGTCCTCATGTACAAAGTATGGTCCTCATGTACAACGTATGGTCTTCATGAACAACTATGGTCCTCATGTACAAAGTATGGTCCTCATGTACAACGTATGATCCTCATGTACAAAGTATGGTCCTCATGTACAAAGTATGGTCATGTACAAAGTATGGTCCTCATGTACAAAGTATGGTCCTCATGTACAAAGTATGGTCTTCATGTACAACTATGGTCCTCATGTACAAAGTATGGTCCTCATGTACAACGTATGGTCCTCATGTACAAAGTATGGTCCTCATGTACAAAGTATGGTCCTCATGTACAACGTATGGTCCTCATGTACAAAGTATGGTCCTCATGTACAACGTATGATCCTCATGTACAAAGTATGGTCCTTTTGTACAACGTATGGTCCTCATGTACAACGTATGGTACGCATGTACAGCGTATGGTCCTCATGTACAACGTATGGTCCTTTTGTACAACGTATGGTCCTCATGTACAACGTATGGTCCTTTTGTACAACGTATGGTATGCATGTACAACGTATGGTTCTCATGTACAACGTATGGTCCTCTTGTACAACGTATGGTCCTCATGTACAACGTATGGTCCTCATGTACAACGTATGGTCCTCATATACAACGTATGGTCCTCATGTACAGCGTATGGTCCTCATGTACAACGTATGGTCCTCATGAACAACGTATGGTCCTCATGTACAACGTATGGTCCTCATGAACAACGTATGGTCCTCATGTACAACGTATGGCCCTCATGAACAACGTATGGTCCTCATGTACAACGTATGGTCCTCATGAACAACGTACATGTATTGTACGCTCATTTTACACGCTTACGAGAGTTCGTTTTCAGATGATCCGTTCAGGACACGTTGACCGAACGGCAGCGTTCTTACTTTCCCGTCACGTTCACGTTAGTTAAAAACGCTGTGAGATCATTTTCCCTTCCTTCGTGTTCGTATATTTTTTATAACGAATTATTGCCCTTCAAGGCGACGCATTTGCACTTATTTTGCCAAACCTGCGTTGAAACCAGTTGATGCGTAATGCGCTCACATCCCTTTGCAATCTTGTAAATGCGTTTAGTGAACCACAGTGCGTTCGAATCTCCTTCAAGATAACATGACCTACGCATTCACGTTCATCTAAATGAGACGTTCACAATGTTCATTCCAAGACACGTTCAGAGTTGTACGTTTTTCGAGTTTCTTTATTATTAAAACCGGGGTCTAGATATTGATACTACCACACGTTCTTAAGTATTCGTGTTGTGAGACGTTCTTAGTTCTCAACGTTCTCAGTACTCCTGCTTCCCTCGTTCTCAGTACTCGTGCTGCTACATGTTCTCTGTACTCGCACTGCCGCACGTTCTCATTATTGGTGCTGTCACACGTTCAGAATTCCTTCAAGGCAAGACGATACATACTCTCAAGCGGAATCCCGTTCGCTCCGTTCCTATAGCGGCGTTCTGGTATACCATCAAACCTTAAATTTTCGGACGCGAACGTTCCGAAAATAACAGACATCAAGAAGGGCGTTCACTTCTTGACGCAGATGCGTTCTTTGAACGCCGACGTGTTTAACCAACTCTGGAAGATACGTTCGGAGATACATTATTATTATTATTATTATTATTATTATTATTATTATTATTATTATTATTAGTAGTAGTAGTAGTAGTAGTAGTAGTAGTAGTAGTAGTAGTAGTAGTAGTAGTAGTAGTAGTAGTAGTAGTAGTAGCAGCAGTAGTAGTAGTAGTAGTAGTAGTAGTAGTAGTAGTAGTAGTAGTAGTAGTAGTAGTAGAAGTAGTAGTAGTAGTAGTAGTATCACCAGGGCCAAGATATATATGTGTCACCTAAGCCAGGATTATGTGTTACTAAGATAGGTATTACTAAGATAAGTATTACCAGCTCCAGGATACATGTATCACTAATGCCAGAATATATGTGTCACCCAGGTCAGGATACAAGTGTCACCAGGACTAGCCTATAAGTGTCACTAGAACTAGGATACATGTGTCACCAGGGCCAGGATATATGCATCACCGGGATCAGAATTCATGAGCCGCCAGGGTCAGGATACATGTGTCACCAAAATTAAGATACATTTTTCACCAGTTCCAGGATACTTGCCATCAGAACTAGCATACAAGTGTCATCAGAAACGAGATATGTATCACCGGGACCAGGATATATAGATGTCACAAGGACCAGAATACATGTATCATCAGCGCCAGGATACATATGTCATCAGGTCAAGGATACATGTGGTAAACGAACCAGCCTACAAGCAGGACCAGGACCTGCTTACAATCTAACAGGTCAGGGGAAGAACCAGAGCCAGGTACTAACCAAACTGAATGATCGAAATATGCCATAGATGCTCTCTAGAGCACATTTCGGCCGGTTGATCTGCTAATCATTCAACCGATGAGCACCAGCGACTAGTACTCTAATCAGTCATGCAGACAGGTCTTCCAATCAGCCATGCAGACAGGTCCTCCGAGTCAGCCATGCACGCTGTCCTCCAGTCAATCATGCGGACAGATCCTAGCCATGCAGATTAGTCCTTTAATCAGTCTTACAAACAGGTACCCGAGTCAGCCATGCAGATGTGTACAAAGATCAGCCATGCAGACACGTTCTACAGTCATACACTCGTACTAAAATCAGTCGAATGGGTACTCTAATCAGCCGCGCAGGCAGACACTGTCATCAGCCAAGCAGACAGGTACTCCAGAAAGCCTTGCAGATAGGTACAGCAATAGGTATGTAGCGGTGTAAAGTGCCCTCGGAAAATAGCCATTCAACCTGTTGAGGAACTTCCCATCATCAATGAGTGCCAACGGTGCCATCAATCAATCCACTGCACTTCGTGGCACCATCAGGTGTCCTCATTCACGCTTTTAGTGAACGGAGTATCGAGCCTCTAGTGGGTCTTGCTCTGAATGCCACGAAGAGTGCCAGTTTAAACACGTGTGCCAGCACGGGGAGGGGAAGGGGGCGCCTCGGCCTCTGGCCACCACTTTCACACATCATTATACAAAATATATTGTAAACAGTATTGTGATACCAGCAGTGGCTGAGGACACTCATATAAAGTTCAGTATGGCTATTAAAGCCGCTTTTGGCAAAACGTTTCCTCTCGTATATAAAACGTCTTTATCCTCAAGATACACATAAAACAAGTTGCAAGGAGCCGACGGGTGCTTTTAAAAGGCACCTTCTTCAATGGAATCTTTCACGAATGCGATGTTTCGCCTACCGGGGGCTTACTGAAGCCTCCAGCAAGTGAAACATTCTTTAACCACGACGTACACTTCTATGCATGAGTTACAGTACAAGACCATCCATCAACCCACGCCGCCGCACTCTCTATCTTATTTTAATAAACTGATGTCTGGAAACTCCGAACATTCACTAATCAATAACAAAAAATTATCCAGGTGCTGAACATGTTCATCTTTCCCCTAACAATAAAGAAAAAGGTCAGTGTTACATTAATGACAGCAAAAGCCTGACAACACCAAGCCTATCATTTTTAAACTAGGTGTCAGCGAGAACACTCTAGCCTCTAAGGACCTTTCTTTACGCGAAAGTTTTCAGAGAGGATGAGTTTAAGAGCCCCTTATAATTTATAGTGAAGATATCTGCAGTAATCGGATTATAAATAAAGCCACAAGAATCTATTAGCTACTGAATCTTTGACGTGATGTATTCAATACGACAGTGCATTAGGAAAAATAAACTCAGGGCAGCGTTTAAACAAAAAACTGGGCGTAATTGCGGCAGGGATCCGGAACAACGCCCCAACAAAAGGAACTTTTCGTTTTCCATTGATTTCCAATTGACGAAGGCCAAAAAAAAAAAAAAAAAGGAATTGTTCTAAGAAGTGACTCTGTGCGATTAGGAAAATTATTTGTTCCGAGTTATCATAATCCTTTCAAGGAGATTATCAGAGTTATTTAAATAATTGTTGCGTGTGAGTGATGGTGGTCATGCGGGAACCCACCTGGTTGTAGGCGGAGAGCGGCGGTGGGACGGCACGCGCCAGGCCCGGCTGCCGCCGACTTCGAAGTAAACATTGAGCGAAGTCCGGTGGGAGGAGCCACGTCTGGTCACGCCCACCACGCCGTACATCACCCTGGCCCCTCCCACAACCACTCGAGCGGAACATCTGCTTCTTTCGTACCCGAATTTCCGTCCAAACCAACAGATTCCGTCGCTTCTGTGTATGTCTCCGAACTCTGGTGCGTGTTACAGAAACGTCGAAGCCGCTAGCGGGGAGAATCATTCGGCGAAATGGACAGGAGTAAGTCGGGACGGAAAGGGACGGAAAACAGGAGCCGTATCCGTCTGAGGTTGGTGTCCGTGAGAGGACCAATGAGGTGCCAGGGTAGCATGACGTCACGCACGGCTAGAGTCTAGCTGGGGTGGTGACCAATGAGGGACGGGGGAGTGAAGGAGGCGGAGCCAGCCACTGTTGGTGGATGGTAGCGCGCAAGTGTACTTCAGTTGTGAGTTTGTAGGCAGAGTCGCGGCCACACTGTTTGCAAGTCTGATCAGACTTGCTGTGTAATGGCTACAACAACTTACATCGCATCAAGTGCAGTGTGTTCTGATCCAGTCAGTGTGCCAGACTGTCTCACCATGAACATAGTGAACACTCAAGGGTATGGGCGTGATGCCCATGAAATGAAGTACATGCCCCAGCATCAGGCGCCCATGGCCCACAACCCATGGGTGGGTCTCCCTCCGTCAGACCCCAGCCACTGGGCCATGCACCCTCACCCAGGCCTCCACCAGGATATTAAACCTCAACCTTCAGAAGTGGCTATCCACCACCGTCCACCCCATCATATGACACATGCCTGGCAGCCTCCCGTCTCATCTCCGTACAGTAGTCTGGCGGCGGGCAACGGCGGGTCCCCGCTGGGCCACCATGCCTACGCCTCCATGAATGGCATGCTGCCCCATCAGATGCACCCGGGGCACCTGAGGGACATGCACTGCGAGTCCCCAGTCACACCTGATCACCACGTACATCACGAAGTCGAAGAGGAGACCCCGACAAGTGACGACCTGGAACAGTTCGCTAAGTCGTTTAAACAGAGGCGTATCAAGCTGGGATTCACACAGGCGGACGTTGGTCTGGCCTTGGGAACCCTTTACGGCAATGTATTCTCCCAGACCACCATCTGTAGGTTCGAAGCTTTACAGTTATCTTTCAAGAACATGTGCAAGCTGAAGCCGCTGCTAATGAAGTGGCTTGAAGAGGCAGACTCCACTACAGGCAGTCCCACTTCCATCGACAAGATTGCCGCCCAGGGAAGGAAGCGCAAAAAGCGGACCTCCATAGAAGTGTCTGTGAAAGGAGCCCTGGAACAACATTTTCACAAGCAACCCAAACCCTCAGCACAGGAGATCTCACAGTTAGCAGACAGCCTGCAGTTGGAGAAGGAGGTAGTGAGAGTGTGGTTCTGCAACAGACGGCAGAAGGAGAAACGGATGACACCTCCTATACTTGGCCAGGGTCCTGACGGGCAAGGCGTCAACGGCACACCACCCGGGCCAGGACAACAGATCACGCCCACGCCAGACTACGGACAGCCCAGGTCAGTAGAGCTTCCCAGAGAACTAAAATACCCAGGCTACACTCACCAGACCATGCACGGTTCCCCTACCCACCTGCCGCCCCAGCACTCACCGCCTGGACCCCTACTCTCACCACAGATGCCACCTCATAGCGTGGCGCCTTCGCACGCGGTCTCCCACTGATGGTCGCTCAACCTGTGGCAGGAGCCAGCGTACTGACCAGCAATCAGTGGGAGCCAAGAAAGCTTCCTCAGGACTCCACCTACCGCCCCTCGCCATTCTAGTCTTCATTACCAGGGCTAAGTTTGGAGGGGCCGTGACCTAGGCGTTCTTATAACGTCTTCGTCGCTCCTGCCGGCAGTAGGAGAGTCCCAAGCACCTCTAGTCCCCGGGCCGGCCAGCCTGGCCCTTCTTCGGGAGGAGGGCGGCCCCCCGAGCGGCCAGATCGTCAACACGAAGCCAGATTATTTACCAGTAAGAAACCTGGTGTGTCCATGTGAAAACTTCTTCAGTGATAAACCTATTTTCTATAGACTAACCTCGAGCTATGCTGAGGAAGTGTATAAATATGAACCCGTAGCAGATTCATCATTCCATACTTCGCCAAACATTCCATAAGCTAATCTGACTGACTCTCCGCGGAGCGCAGTGTCAGATTATTTCTACGATTCCTCAGTGAGGCGATAAGTAGTAGTGTAAAGACTGAGCTTCATATTACGTGTGAACATTAACTAGCGGTTACCTCGAGTTTTTTGTGCGCGTGTTTGGAACATTCCAGTGGTGGCGGGTGGCAGCTGCTGCGGGCGGCCACCGCCCGACACCTGGTCCCGTGGGCGGCCTGTGGGCGGCCTCCACACCGCCCACCCACACGCTTGACTCTAAGTCTTATCTCGAAATTAAAGAATATGTGGGGGCGCATGACTGCCGGGAGACCGTCCGTGATGCCATGGGGCCCGCCGCCACCACCCAGCTCACACCCGCTGCCCATTCCCGCCCACCCTCGCCCCTACACACACATCGGACCAGCTATTTCTATGTGGCAAGTAGAAATTATCTCTTGGGAACTATTTCTGTGAGTGGTAAGGGCAAGTGGTGAGCATCTGGCGTGTGTAGCGGCCGCCCGTAGCTCTGTGCCCGCTACCGTGTACATAGTCATCTTTGTAAATACTGGAGAAGCCGTGACGGCTTCGACTGCAGTCGAGCCGCACTTGTGATATGACTCAAGAGCTGAATTTATAATAATTTCATTGTAATATATGTATCATTCATACTTAGATTAACCCCTGAGTATATTTAGTTTGTGTTGACCGTTTCCCATTACTGCTAATACGTCGGAGTGGATCTGGTGCGGTCGTGATGTAGTGGTGTACATATACCTTCCGTGCCGCCGCTGTCGCCGCACCCTGCCATCCGTGCCGCCGCTGCCGCACCCTGCCATCCGTGCCGCCGCCGCCGTCGCCGCCCCTCACCCACCCAGCGGTGGCCGGCGGTGGCGACTACCTGGCCACCCACTGCAACTCCTCGGCAACCCAACCTTCAACAAACCGGATCTTGTGTCGGCGGGAGAGCCTCCCTTGCTGCGGAGGATGTGATCAACCCAGGCAACCTTACCACCTGCGTTCCTCCAGGGGTTGCCGAAGCCAGCTGGGGCGCGTGGCTGTTTAACACCAGCTGCGAGGTAAGCTCCCCTCCTTCCCATGCTGCAACGACGATCCGCAACTCCCCACCAGCGCCTGACAGGCTCCCCTCTGCTTCCCCTCGGCGTCTCTCACCTCTATTGACCCGTCAACACCTCCTTTGGGCTTCTGTAAGCCGCCTCTTTTTTCCTGCAGTGAAACGCTTGTAGGTCCCTCCTGCCTCATCGAGGGATTCTATAGACCCCACTGAAGTTACCTGTTGGGGTGTATCCCGTTGTCCAACAGATGAGTAGCGAGCGAGGAACTTACACCCACCTTCACTTCTTCAGCGTCCAGTGGATACCCACCTCATCAACACCAGTGTCTGGTGGGTGCATCACGCTCAGCAGAGGGTTGGTCAGGATGGATAAGGATGGCAGCATCACTGCGAGTCGCCACAGTGGTGATGGATAAAGGATGGCAGCCCAACTGAAAAAGTCGCTACCGTGGTGGGTGACACAGAAAACCCCTGCTCAACACCGCACCTGTCTCTGTTTGTTATTAATGTTCTGAATGTCTGTACGAGGCTCTAGTAACGTAGCAGGTATGGTGATCCTGACCTCACCTCACAACTACTGTCACTGTTGTAACTACCATTACTACTACAATGTAGCCCCTCACGGGTATATATATAAACGTTATGAGGACTTATATTAGTGCTATGAGAACTTCATTCAGTAAAAGAAAACGTCTTGATAGGAACAGAAAAGTCTTTTTACACCTGTGAACTTTCTTTGTGTGTTAAAGTACAAAGGATCACGTCAAAGATAAATTTATTATCCACGTAAGAATTACTTGGAAATCTGTAGTCAAGAAATGTACATAATATTGTATTATTAAACTTATTATGAATAATAAAAGAAAGATTTGTCTATACACTGGGTTTAATTTTAACCAGACTTGACGATTTTGACAATTGTAACCAATGATGTCAGAAAACTGATGGAAAACAATATACATGAGATATGAAGTAGATAACAGTATGCAGATAAAAAACTTATGTTCCACGAGATTTCACGGGTAATATGAAGAAGCTGTTCATTATACGAACACTTGCGGAAAAAAAGATATGTATGTCTGGAGTAACTGGACCAGATGGCAAATTACCGCCGCAACAGACAGTCTTTATCAATAGAGATAAATATAACACGCATAACAAAATGAAATATTTAAAATACAGAATGTCAAAAAGAACAAACGGATGTAAATCTTTTATTCCTTTATTTCTCCTCTCTTTTATTTGTTTATATATTGTCGCTGATGTGTAAAAGCTGTGAGGGGCTGGGCAGAGCGCCGTGGGGCGGCTAATCGTTTACGAGTAGTTAATCAATATATCACGGGGAATTAACTCTTACTGCCTTGGTTACACGTTCCTCCGTCACCAGGAAATAACCAGCTTGCCCATCCTGCCTTCCCAAAGCCCTACCGCCAGCAGCGTCCCTTGTTCCCAGCCCCACAAATTGCCTTCTTGTGACTGGTAGAATATCTGCGGCAGACTCGCTGCCTCAACGTACTCGACCAACGTACTTACTGAACGTAATACATCGATGTGTTGTTATTTCTCCTTATACGGGAGATTCGCCTTTGTAGGAAATTGTGATGATCAGACGATGGAGGTGATATACCTTCCTGCGTTATCACGTGTTAAACGAAAAGCCTCTGTTCAAATTCTACAGTCTGGAAGTTATTTACGTATAGATTAGATTAGTTCGCTCGATTGTTCGGCTCGACTCTTGCAGGTGTGGCAAGTAGATTGCTAACTGTTACTGTAATGCACTACAGTGTCCTAAAAGACTTAATTTTCGCGATCTGTGGCACTTAAAGTAGTTCTTAGGGTATTGTATATTCTTACACATCCACACATATACAAACACAAGCATAAATTGCCAAGAGCGTTACTTATATTGTGAAATTATATATATATATATATATATATATATATATTATATATATATATATATATATATATATATATATATATATATATATATATATATATTTTATATATATATATATATATATATATATATACATATATATATATATATATATATATATATATATATATATATATATATATATATATATATATATATATATATATATATATATATATATATATATATATATATATATATACATTTATATTTGCAAAGATTCACAGATTTTTATATACCTGATATGTAAGTTTATTGTTTTGTTATATTAGTAATGCTTTTATTTGTAATATTCTTATTTTGCTGGAACTTAACAATAGTAATCTAGGTCAGCTCTATTGAAATACTAATATTCGTAGTTTGTTCTCCTGTAATATTCTAGATTTACCTCAGTAGTACTAGTAATAGTATCTAGGATCGCTTGCCAGTCGCAATACTTTATGATCCTGCACGCCTCTAGTCTGGTCTTGAACTCCCTTTGTGACCCCCTTCAAGGGTAATGAAGGGTTCTTAATCCTAGGAATTTGAGCCACCCAGTCAATACCTCGGATAAGACCTCATTATCTTCCATACTCCACTCACTCTATGCTTTCTTAGTGGGTTTATCTCTTCCCCATAATATTAGTAATATCTTACGTGAAGGTCGGTCACACCTGGAGTGACCGACGTACCACGACCGACGTACCACGACCGACGCACCACGACCGACGTACCACGACCGACGTACCATGACCGATACACTAATACTGTCTTAAGTTATACATTCTTCATGGTTTTCTGCTACTTGTCGGTAATAAATCCCTTTATTACCAATAAAAAAAAAAACATTAATCGTCTTCCATCCCAGGATAATGCAGGTCTGCCCACCACCACCAGAATTAAGACCACCTGTCTACAAGGTTCACCCTCGTATTAAAGTCGATAGAGTTGAAACGGCTATCATGACATATGCGTTATTTTGGGCACGTTTGGTTGCAGGCAACCACGCGCCAGGTTGATCTAAATGCGTGTTAAACACGCGATATCTTGTAAGGATTGCATTGCAGCTTTAGAGGCGAGATTTACTCATTTACTCTCTTCTGTCTCGCCTTTAAGGTGTAAAGAATGTGGCTAACAAATACGTTATGTGTTTTAAAGACGGAGGATCGAGCCTCCACCGTCCATAACGCTGAAGGAACCACTCGGAACTAGTGCATAAAATAATAATAATAATAATAATAATAATAATAATAATAATAATAATAATAATAATAATAATAATAATAATAATTTTTGTTTTTGTATTGTTTATGGGCCCAGATTAAGCGATCAGCCGGACTTTGGGCCTAATTGGGCCTGTTATGCACTGCGTCACTCTGCGTCACGCAATACTACCCTGACGCACGCGACAATCGCCGATTCGCTGAAAAATGCCCTCGACGCTTAGCCGGTGCCTCGGTTGTTGACGACGCGCGCAATCCAAGACGCACTATACCAACGTTCGTGAACGAAACAGTCACTGACACACTAAAAAAAAAATACCACCTTGACGTACGCAGTTGTGCTGACGCACGCAACAATGCTTTTGAAACGCGCACAAATCTTTGACGCACCTTACACACTTTGACGTACCTAACACACTTTGACGCACACAGCAATCCTTAACGCACACAGCAATCCTTAACGCATACAGCAATCCTTGACGAACGTAACAATACATGACGTGTTTAACAATAACTGACGAAAGCTCAGTATGTAACGCAAGCAACAATAATAACGCAAGCAACACTAATAACACAGGCAACAATAATAACGCAAGCAACACTAATAACACAGGCAACAATAATAACGCAAGCAACACTAATAACACAGGCAACAATAATAACGCAAGCAAAAATATTAAGGCAACATTAATAAGGCAACAATAATAACGCAGACAACAATAATAACGCAGACAACAATAATAACGGAAGCAACAATAATAACGCAACAATAATAACGCAAGCAACAATAAGAACACAAGCAACATAAATAACGCAGGCAAGAATAGCAAAAAAAGCAACAATAATACGCAAGCAACAATAATAACACAAGCAACAATGATAACGCAGGTAACAATAATGCAAGCAATAATAATAACGCATTCAACAATAATAATGCAAACAACGATAACAATGCAGGCAACAATAAGGCAAGCAACAATAATAACGCAAGCAACGATATTAACGCAAGCAATTCTAATAGCGCAGGCACCAATAGTAACGCAAGCAATAATAATAACGTAAGCAACAATAATAACGCAGGCAACAACAATAACGCAGGCAACAATAATAACGCAAGAAACAATAATAACACAATAAACAATAATAACGCAGGCAACAACAATAACGCAGGCAACAATAATAACGCAAACAAAGATAATACAAATAACAATAATAACGCAGGCAACAATAATAACACAGGCAACAATAATAACACAAGCAACAATAATAACACAAGCAACAATAATAACACAAGCAACAATAATAACACATGCAACAATAATAACGCAGGAAACAATAATAACACAGGTAACAATAATAACACAAGCAACAATAAAAACACAAGCAACAATAATAACACAAGCAACAATAATAACACAAGCAACAATAATAACACAAGCAACAATAATAACACAGGCAACAATAATAACACAAGCAACAATAATAACACATGCAACAATAATAACACAGGCAGCAATAATAACGCAGGCAACAATAATAACACAGGCAACAATAATAACACAGGCAACAATAATAACACAGGCAACAATAATAACACAGGCAACAATAATAACACAAGCAACAATAATAACACAAGCAACAATAATAACAAGGCAACAATAATAACACAGGCAACAATAATAACACAGGCAACAATAATAACACAGGCAACAATAATAACACAGGCAACAATAATAACACAGGCAACAATAATAACACAAGCAACAATAATAACACAAGCAACAATAATAACATAGGCAACAATAATAACACAGGCAGCAATAATAACGCAGGCAACAATAATAACACATCCAGCAATAATAACGCAGGCAACAATAATAACACAAGCAACAATAATAACACAGGCAACAATAATAACACAAGCAACAATAATAACACAGGCAACAATAATAACACAGGCAGCAATAATAACGCAGGCAACAATAATTACACAGGCAACAATAATAACACAGGCAACAATAATAACACAGGCAGCAATAATAACGCAGGCAAAAATAATAACGCAGGCAACAATAATAACACAAGCAACAATAATAACACAGGCAACAATAACAACACAAGCAACAATAATAACACAAGCAACAATAATAACACAAGCAACAATAATAATACAAGGAACAATGATAACACAAGCAACAATAATAACTCAGGCAACAATAATAACACAAGCAACAATAATAATACAAGCAACAATGATAACACAAGCAACAATAATAACACAAGCAACAATAATAACACAGGCAACAATAATAACATAGGCAACAATAATAACACAGGCAACAATAATAACACAAGCAACAATAATAATACAAGCAACAATAATAACACAAGCAACAATGATAACACAAGCAACAATAATAACACAGGCAACAATAATAACACAGGCAACAATAATAACACAAGCAACAATAATAACACAAGCAACAATAATAACACAAGCAACAATGATAACACAAGCAACAATGATAACACAAGCAACAATAATAACACAATCAACAATAATAACACATGCAACAATAATAACGCAGGCAACAATAATAACACAAGCAACAATGATAACACAAGCAACAATAATAACACAATCAACAATAATAACACAAGCAACAATAATAACACATGCAACAATAATAACGCAGGCAACAATAATAACACAAGCAACAATGATAACACAAGCAAC